GTCACAACTCAGATGTCCATCAACGGAGGAATGGATACAGAAATTGTGGTATTTTTACACAATGGAATACTACTCAGCAATCAAAAAAGAGGAAATCATGAAATTTGCAGGCAAGTGGTGGGATCTAGAAAAGATCATTCTGAGTGAAGTATCCCAGAAGGAGAAAGACAAACATGGTATATACTCACTTATATAGACCTACAAGATATGATAAACATAATGAAATCTACACACCTAAAGAAGATAATCAAGAAAGTGGACACGGGCGAAGATGATCAATCCTCATTTAGAAAGACAAATGGGATGTGCATTGAACGTATGACAGGAGTCTACCACAAAAGGCATCTGAAAGACTCTACCTAGCAGTGTTTCAAAGCAGACACTAAGGCTCATAACCAAACCCTCGGCAGAGTGCAGGAAATCATATGAAAGAAGGGGAGTTAGTATGATATGGAAAGGATAGGAGCTCTACAAGGACCAAATATGTCTGGGCACAGGGTCTTTTCTGAGACTGACACTCAACCAAGGACCATCTATGGATATAACCTGGAACTTCTGCTCAGATGTGGCCCGTGGTAGCTCAGTAACCAAGTAGTTTTCCAAAGTAAGGGGAACAAGGACTATTTCTAACAGGATCTCAAGGGCAGGCTGTTTGACACCCCCCCCCCAGGGGAGGAGCAGTCTGTTAGGCCACAGAGGAGGACTTTGCAGCCAGCCCTGAAGATAACTGATAAAACAGGGTCAAATGAAAGGGGAGAAGGTCCTCCCCTATCAGTGGACTTGGAAAGGGGCAGGGAGGAGACCAGGGAGGGAGTGTGAGGGTGGGGAAGGAATAAGGGAGCGGGATACAGCTGGGACACAGAGTTAACAAAATGTAACTAAAAAGAAAAATAAAATTAAAAAACAAAACAAAACAACAACAACAAGAAGAGTTGTCATGGTCATGTTTTCTCTTCCCAGCAATAAACCCTAAGATGTCCATCAAAAGTCTGTAGATCTGGAAATGTCTGTGAATGTGCTTACTTTGCTTCTTGGCATCTGTAGTTCTACATTTGGCTACTTTTGTTGTTGTTGTTAATTGACATATATAAACCCAGAATATCGTTTTACTGCTTAAAAGCTCACCATGAGCTTCATCATTGGCCAGCTAATAAAGATTTTCTATTGGCTTAAATCCCTGTCTCAGCAGTCTTCTCTGGTAGATACCCAACAACATTTCTGTAAGTCCTACAAAGATCCCCAGAGAACAAAACCTGAGACACCAGGGCTATCAGATACCCTCTGAGCAGGAAAGAATGCACTGATCAAGGAGCTCCTAAGGGCTGCTCAACCTGTGTCCTAGGTCTCCAAGTCTCCTTTTGATCAATCACTGCCTAACACTTTGTAGGAATCTCACACCTCTACCCAAAGAAAACAAATTATAAAGTCCTGTGGTTTGTCAAGTCCATAGGTAAGTTTGCTTAAGACACCATCTGTTTGAACACATAGGACAGGCTGAACACAGCCACTGATCCACTGGTCTAGAATCTGTGTGAGATGTCACGGGATTTCCCCTGATTGTTCAGGTATATAAAAATGTGATGGCCACCCCTGTGTGCTGTGTGTGTGTGTGTGTGTGTGTGTGTGTGTGTGTGTTCTATGTATTGGTGTCAGTTATGTTTCCCTTTATTGACCAGTGGCCTTTCTGGAATGAGAACCCCCTGATTTAAGAATCTCTTACTCTTTGGGACCTGACTAAATATGTTTGGCACTGCCAGGTCACCCAGAGAAATGAAAAAAATAAAATAAAATAAAAACAACAACAAACAAATGAACAAATAATAACATGACAAAACATTACTCCAGAGCTCTCACTGGTTTTCTTGCTTAACTCCCACTCAAGTACCTGGTTTTTCCACTCACTATGTGGAATCAAGGGGGGGACTGAGCCCTTTAAGCCCTTTAAGTCCTTAAGCCCTTTAAGACTCCTGCCATTTAAACTGAATGCACATAGGGAAATAGAAATAGTTTTTCAAGGGGCACATTCCCTCTACTCACAGCCTGTTCTAAGCAGACCCAGGAAATTTAAAACAAATAGCTTTACTCGGGCTAGAGTGATGGATCAAAGGTTAAGAGCACTGGCTGCTGTTCCAGAGGTCCTGAGCCAGGAATCACATGATGGCTCACAACCATCTATAATGAGATCTGGTGCCCTCTCCTGGCATGCATGTGTACATGCAGTCAGAACACTGTATACATAATAAATAAATCTTTAAAATACCTTTACTCCTTCCTTTTTCATAATTTCTGGTTTTTTTTCCACCAATTATCTCTGTAATTGGAAAACTCATACTCCACCATTCTCTTGAAAAGGTAGAAAAGCCACGCCTCGGCTGGGTTTGTGTGAGGGGGTCACTGCTATGCAATACATCCTAAACATAATGGATTTTCCTTTGTTTCCAATACTGAATGGGAAGACTTGAAACAATTATTGTTAGTTTCTTCTTAGAATTAAGAACAGTTGCTTAAAAAAGAAGAAAGAAAACATTATTTGTCATGCAGTTGGTCCCAGATTATAAAAAAAAAATTAGAAAAGTTAGAAAAAAATTAAAAGTAGCGATAGCTCAGTGTTTGGTAACAGAGACACGATTAGAAAAACATTTTTGCCTAAATTCAAAACCACTATCGCCTTCTCTAATGATGATACAGTTAGGCTGAATAGCTGGCAAAATTTTGATATCTTATCCTCTGTCAGAACAATATTTTCTAGCTGAAAGTCTGCCTGCAGACAAAAGATACAGTTGAAATAACTCCCAGATTGACAGTAAAGATCCCAAGGATATGGACAAAGTCCAACATGCCAAGAGTGGCTCAACACCAAGAATCTATAACTATTCAAATAACAAGTTCATCTATCCCTGTCCAGATTTTAAAAATTCCCAATGGTCCCAAGAAAAGAGAAATTACAGTCCATACTGCCTGTGTTTGAGAACATGACCCCTGGTGCGTGACAATCACCCTGGAATGCACCTTTCTTGCCAGTGAAGAAACCCAGGATCTTTGACTCTCAGGAGTCTGAGTCTTCCAGAGAAATAGATGTGCACTGTCATGGACCTGAAAGATGCCTTCTCCAACCTCCCATTGGAAGAGGTGAGTCAACCTATCTTTGCTTTTAAATGGACAGACCCAGAGGGAAGTTACAGCAGGCAGCTTACATGTACCAGAATTTAGACATATCATAACAAGTAAATAATCATGCTATATGTTTCTGGATGAGGGTCACTGAGTCAGGGTAACTGGGAAATTATCTTGCAGGGATTGAAGTCATACCAAACAGCTGATCTATACCAAGGTGGATGCTTAGCTTAAAATGAGGCTTCATTAGCCATAGAAAAGGGATAGGGTTTGAGACAAAGCAGATACTGAGACTTATGGCCAACTGTTGGGCAGAGTGCAGGGAGGCTTATGAAAGAAGTGGGAAACAGTAAGATCTGGAGAGGACAGGAACTCCACAAGGAGAGCAACAGAATCAAAAAATCTGAACGCAGGGGTCTTTCCTGAGACTGATACTCCAACCAAGGACTATGCATGGAGATAACCTAACACCCCTGCACAGATGTAGCCCATGGAAGTTCAGTCTCCAAGTGGGTTCCATAGTAATGGGAACAGAGACTGTCTCTGACATGAACTGGTTGGCCTGCTCTTTGATCACCTCCCCCTGAGGGGAGAGCAGCCTTACCAGGCCACAGAGGAAGACAATGCAGCCACTCCTGATGAGACCTGATAGGCTAGGATCAGAAAGAAGGAAAAGACTTCCCCTATCAGTGGACTTGGGGAGGGGCATGAGTGGAGAAGGGAGAAGGAAGGGAGGGATTGGGATGGGAGAAGGGAGGGAACCACAGGGGGGATACAAAATGAATAAAGGGTAATTAATAAAGAATTAAAAAAATTGGTGAGGGAGGGGATAATCAAAATGCATTGTATAAAAGTGGAAGATTGTAGGTAAGACTGGTAAAGAACTAAGCTATTTTTAAAAATAAACATACAACAGAACTGCAAAATGTAATCAATGTCATGTCAGCATTCCATTTGATCTCTCAGGCTGACACTGAAATATCTGTGTAGTACAGGGAAGCCTAAAATGTGTGTTTTCCATACCTCCGATTTCTAATAGCATGGGTTGCCTGTTTTCTTATCTTGTAACTTATTCCTGTATCATATCTGTTATTGTTCTTTTTCTATATTTTTAATATGATGATTATTTAGAATGATGTTTTATATATTATTCATCATTCTGTTCAGGGAGCCAAAACAACCCAAGACTTTCTAAGATTCCCTGATTAAAGAACAAAGGGAACTTTAGTTCTGTGTCTTTGTCCAGGATCAGACTTGTAGGCCAGTCTGACACTGGAGTGAATGCCTCACAGGAGTCGAAGTTGTAGCTCCTCGGGACAGCACTCTGCCCCCTCAGCTGTAATTATTATCCTAAGGAATCTGTCTAAGATTGTTCACTTGTTCTCTTTCTCAACATTGTCTGACTTGTCTCTCTGCTAACCTTTGATCTTTGACCTTATAAATAGTACAGATTTGCTTGGTAAAAATATCCTGGCACTTACATAAAACATCAGCTCATGCAAGACTTCCTCATCCAACTATTACTTTTCTGTTCTTTCTTACCCCAGATCCTCCCACTCGAGCCCACCATGTTCATGACTCTTATTGTGCTTGTTCAGATCAGATCTGAATTCTTCATTTTCATAATAAAATATGTTATGGTTACTTCATTGTTCAATTTCCAGATTTATTGAGCTATGATTGACAAAAGGTAAATATTCTTCAGATTAAAATGTTTTAAAACTTTGTATATACATATTCATATGTACATGTGAAAAGATCTAAATAAAAAGAGACCATGAATCTGAAGGAGAGTAGAGGAGGCTATATAGGAATGTGGGGGGGGGGAGGAAAGAGGACTTTTGTAATTATAATATATCTCAAAAATAATAAAAACAAACATGAAAAATAGTTTCTTCACTCTTATTTTCTTTCCTCATTCTATGCATCAGTTACTGACAAAGCATTTGCCCTATTTATAAAATGGAGGGACGTCTTTGGCTACAGAATCAGGTGAGTCCCCAAAAATCTCAGAATCTCCTAGACAGGTTACAGCTGCAAAATGACTGAGCACTTGAGGCAGATCTTGTTTTCTGACATGTCTGTGTCCTCTCTTGTTCACAGGATATAGACTGTAGATCTTCCTGGACTGGTAGCCACCAGCGGAGGGTGTCAGGTGAGAATCCTCTGCTTGGACAGTGGGAGCTTCACCTGCCCCCGTTTTGGAGCCATGCACAGCTGGGCGTAGGTCACAACATGAGGGTCCTCAGATGGATTAGCCTGAGGTGGGGAGGAGCAGATGGTTTGTGTTGGTCACTGGGAGCCTGGAAGACTAAAGAGGTCAGAACCCACCTGCTTGTCTATCACTTGGCCTCCATTTGCCTGTCTGTAATTTGAATCCAGTAATTCCTTTGGCAAAAGGGAAGGAGAGGTGGTCTCTGCCCTTCTGGAACGTTTCACCTGGGCATACAAGTGCATGGAGGGGTCATCCTCTCGTTGGCTCTGCAGCACAGAGACAATGAAACAAGGGGAGTGTGCCTTGTGTCCCCAGAGGCTCTCTACCCATAGTTACACAGGGTACAACAGTGATACTTTAGACATTTCTTTCAAACTAGAGCAGTGTTAACTGGGTCTTCTGTGGCTTCCTAAGGACTTAGGATGTCTATCCGTTTTCTTCCTACATTTCTGCCATATTATCCGGACACTCTCCGATGCACCTATCTTTTGTAAAGAGAGTATTCCTCCTCTCAGAACACTTGGACCTGCCATGTCCTGCACCTAGATGTGCCAGTTCATAACAGGATTTTATGAGTCTCTCTCAGGCTTTTCTCAGAAGGCTTCTTTCAAGTTCTTTTTATGTTCACACTGACAATCTGTGCCTCAAACAACTGTAGCCTACATCCTCTGATTCATTTTCCTCACCCACTTTGCACTGTCCGTTCTGTTTGTCTCCAGATCATCTCTCAGTAAGTAGAGAATTTTGTTCCCTGCAGTGTCTACATCCCTTGCATGGTAAGATCCAGGAACTGGGAAGACGAGTCAAGCAGCATGGTGGGTGCTATGCAAACATTCGCATCTGAGGTTGATCCCTAGTGCCAATTAAAACATCCAAACAAGAAAGAACTGGGAAGTAGAGACAAGTTCCCAGGGCTCAATAGTATCAATCCACACAAGCAACTAGTTCCAGGGTCACTAAGAAACCCTGACACAGAAAATAAGGTGGAAAAAAATAGAAAAAGACATTAAATGTTGACCTCTTTCCTCTGTCTGTGCATCCTGTACATTTACTTGTTAGTTTTACACAAGAGATTAAAACAAATGCCTTACACATCAAATCACTTTGACATTGACCAACAGCTTCTGATAATTATATTGTCTTCTGAGCCCCTAGAAGCACGGTAAAAATCAGACAGATGCTGAGGAGTCAGAAGTAAACAAAGCATGAATGAGGTCTGAGTACACAGAAAATGAGTGTTTCCAGGAACAAGAAGCCAGCTGCTGATGATGGTGAGAGCTGAAAGAGGGAAGGATGGAGATTCCTCCTGGGATCATAACTTGTTAGCATTGTGAATAATCAAGATTCTCACCAGAGTGTCTAGCTCCAAGCTGTCTGTTGGCTTTCGGATCATCACAGTAGCATCTGTCATAACAAGACACAAAGGTCTTTTCTTGACCATATTCCCAGGACCAGATCCCTGCCCTATCCCCAACCTCCCCCCCCAAAAAAGAAAAAGTGGGGGTTATGGTGCATAGAGAGTATTCAGTGTCCCAGATATTCCACCACCACTGTGATGCTGAGACCTTAGACATCTCCCTCCCAGCCTCTTTTCTCACACAAGATTTCTTCCTGGTTTGCAGGAACTGGACTGGATCTGGGGAGATAAGAGGGTGTCAAGTGGCAGTGAGAGGTCAGGCAGGTAGGGAGGGTCTAGGTTGTTGGACATTAAGTTTTACCTTTTCTGGAGAGGTCTAACCATGCTCCCTGGCTCTGCAGCTTCTTCAGGATGTTGCAAGTCAGTCTTTTGCTGAACTGCAAGAAAAGGAAGAGCCTCAGACAGGAGGTGGAGCTTCCTTACTTAACACCTTTGCAAAAGGAAGACACATTTAAAACTCATTGTATATGTGTTCAAATATTCCAGAAAATAAGAAACTCATATGATACCTGACATTCCACAGGTTTCCAGATCACATTTTCTGATCAGAGATTTTGCAGAAATGTTTTTAAACGTATCTGTCCCAATATGCCTTGCTGCCCCGAGTCCCTGCTTAGATAGCCCACAGTAGGAACCACTACCAACTAAGACCCAAGTCTACCAGTCTACTCACCTCTCCTCTTGTGTTTATTCTGATGCTTGAATATAAGTAGAAGAAAGAGGAGGATGAGGAAGAGGAGTATGATGAAGGTTATGGAAATCCAGACTGGCAAATTCTGGTACCTTTCCAGTTCTAGGAAGAAGTTGACAGCATGAGTAATGAATTGTGAACCTAATGTGTGAGACTGAAAAAGCAATCAAAGAGCCTGCATGAATCTACACTAAGTCCTCTACGTATGTGATAGTGGTTGGCTTGGTGGTTTGTCAGGGACTCTAGATAGTGGGAGTGGTGTTATCTCTGACTCTTGAGACCCTTTTCCAATTACTCGGTTGCCTTGCATAGCTTTGATGAGTTTCTGCCTGTTCTTATTGTACCATGTTCTGCCTGTTCAACTGATGTTCCCACATAGTCTGCTCTTTCTGAGGGATATAAGTAGGGGAGAGTGGAGGTTGAAGGACCCATGAGGAGTGTATGGAGGGGAAGCTACAGTCTGGATGAAAAAAAATAAAAATTAAAAAAAAAAAGAAAGTACTGTGTGCAGGGCATATGCTGGCTATTTGTATTTACTACCTTTCGCTGTCATAACCAACTGACATGGAACCATATCCCAACACTTCCAGTCAGGTCACTTGTCCCAGATCACCCAGCAGGAGGGTATACGGATGAGCATTGATCCCAGAATCTCAGAAGCTGGAAGTAAGGATCCTGAATGCCGTGCCCTAACCATGTGCCACACCTCTACCCAAAGTCATCATCACAACCACAGAGGGGGACAGTACTATTGCAGAAGTTATTTCTAGAGTCTTTCTCTGTAAGCAGATGACACAGATAAAATGAGCACTAAAAGGCACTTGTTGTCTGTGCCAGAGCTCTCCCACTTACATTATAGAAACAGAGAGCTACAGAGAAGAGAACTTTTTCCATGTCAGCCTCTCCAGAAGAGAAATCACCAACTACATAATGAGCATGACTGCCCTCAGGAGCAGCGTTCATACTAAGACATCTCTGGTCAAATACCATCTGATGAAGAGCTGTTTTTAAGGGCCTGTAACAATTGGATGAGGAGATCAGGGTAATTGACACCTACTCTCTTTGTGCTTCTCCCAATATCACAGTTTATCAGGATGAACTCTATTACAACCTAGCATCTGAGCATCTGGTTTCTGGGGACCATGGTGTGATCCCTGCTTCATACCCAGTACATTGAGCACCATACAAGCTAATATAGGAATAAAGACTCATGGGAAATGAAAGTCTCCACATACTCTGGGATGGAAGAACCTCCCAGAGGAGGATTTTCCCTAGAGAAAAACCTACAGCTTTGATCAAAATGGGTTTGGAGGCTCAAGAAGACAGTGGCAAATAGGTGAAGGGGAGAAAATGTGGAAGGCTGCCCTAATTATCTCATCTCCTCTCAGTCTTGCTTCTACATTGCAGTCTCTCCAGAACCTGCCAGCTTCCTGCCTGGAATTTTCTAGATTCCCTTAAAGAGGGTAGAGTGGTCATTACTTGAGAAACATCAGTTTCTTTCTAAATCTCTGAAAAATAAACCTTCTTCTTCTTCTAGTCCTCACTAGGGTAAACGTATTCCTATCCCAGCTAAGAACATCCTAGTCAAGGATTCAGAGTTACCCTCTGAGCACGCTTCAGGCAGGGTCACCTCACCTGATACTTTGATCTCCACAGGGACACTGGGATGTGACAACAGATAAGGAGATGAGCTTTGAGAAACAAAGCACATATAGGTACCCCCAAGGGCCGGGGTCACCACACTCATGGAGAATTCTGCCTCACGCTGTGGATCTTGGAACTCTGATCTTTGGTGCATGTAGGGATGGGCAGCACCTTCCTTGAACAGAAAGAAAGTGTCCACTTGGATCGAGGATTGACACAGCAGGGTAACATTCTCTCCTGAGGACACATTGGTGCCTGGATGCACTGAGAGAATTGGAGTGACAGAAGGATGTCCTAGAAAGGAGACACATGAGTGAGGGGTCACAGTCATGGTTATAGGGCCCTCTTTCAGAATCTAGTCTCTACATTTTCACAAACAGTCCTCATCCACCCCCTCGTTCCTAGATCTGTTTCTGTCCAAGTCCTTGATGAGCTTATGAACTGTGCCATCATCATCTTGAAGAACAATCTCAGCTCTCCTTCCAGCTGAGCCTGTGCCAAGTTGTATCCCTGTTGAATGCACTACTTTTCCCACCTGTGATCAAGATGTCCAGAGGGTCACTGGGTGCTGACCACTCAGAAGAGAAGTTGTGTGCACCATAGCATCTATACCGACCACCAATGGAGAAATTCACAGAGCCTAAGGTAAAGCTGGCTTGAAAATGTCCAGTCTGTGGCTGATGCACAGAGAGCTGGGGGAGGTCACTTCCACCCTCTTTCGACAGAGCAAATTTGTCATAACTGATCTCAGAGTAGCAATGGAGGGCCAGGTTTTCTCCAGGGGCAAGGACAGGGCCTTGCTGATTCAGCAGGGAGGGCTTTCTTGACAGCCCTGGAAGGAGGAGATACAGGAAGTCATCCATCTTGATCTGCAGTACATGTCAATTCTCATCCTGCCCTGACACTGTCATGGCCTCCCATATACTGGGATTTATTAGCCAAGTGCTCCCATTAGCCCTGTCCCAGAATGCCCCTGACAGCAGCAGGGCATATGACAAAC